AAACAAAAAAATGATCACATTAATTCTTAGAAGTAGAACTAACTGTTTGTAGATAGTTTGTAGAATCAATTTCAAATAACATAGTTATGGGTGGCGCACGTGCGGATGTCACTATAATAAATGCTATAACATAGTTATATGTATTACTATAATAAATGCTATAACGTGTGTTATCGGGGCAAAATGGTCCATCTAGGTCAGAAATACAGGTATACATGCTACAAAAGAAAGAAAATACACATAATGTTAAGAAAATCAAGAGTGCAGTGTTTGGAGGCCCATTTCTATAAAGTCGACGTTTGAAACGCGACGATTGGAGTCCTAAATATATAATTTTCTCGGATAGGGCAACTAAGAAGAAATATAAAGATCAAGAGTGAGACGAATAGGACGGCGAGGAAAAACCAGATAGACAGAGAAGTGAAAGTGATCGTTATCAAGGTAAGGTCGGGAGATGAGAAAAGACCGTCGTCGAGGTGATTCAAACCTTGATGTCGACTTGCTGTGGTGTCCAGTGGCCGTGTACTCGGCATGGACAGGGACGACGTCGAAGTGATAGTGGACGTGAGGCCGTGGCCCGTGGGGGCAGGAGCAGCGTCGGCATGGTCGTGGACGGGAGGCAGAGATATTCATGGACGTGGGGGCGTACATAAATTGCAACAAGATTTGATTGGTGGTTACCTTCTATGATTTGCGCTTCTCTGTGGATCCCTGAGTGCCAGGGTGCGGCTGATCGGGCAAGATATCCATGATCTGCCGTAATTTGCGGGCGCTGCGCATGATCGGGCTTTTTAGGCGACGTAACTGCGCGCCGATCGGGCAAGATTTCCATGATCTGCCGTAATTTGCGGGCGCTGCCGCATGATTGCGCCATGTAACAACGGAGCGCCGGGGATCGCGATCGCGCGAGTGCGGGAGCGCGTGGGAATTGCGAGAGAGCCGGGGCCTTCCTTTTTCAGGCAGCTGACCGCAGGCTGACGAGCGTGCGATTGCTGGGAGCGAACGAAGCGCCAGGTGGACTACCGCATCGGGGCGCGCGTAGGAAGCCGGGCAGAGCAAAGCGGGGCGACGCATGTCGTTCGCCGGACAGAGTCTTCCTTACCTATCTTTTATTATATATATATATATATATATATATATATATATATATATCATACATGGGGTACTATATAATGTTTATTTATACGCCAAATATTCTATAAGGCTATATATATATATATATATATCACTTATGTAGGGAGCAGAATAATAGCTTATTCTATAGCCTACTTGATTTACGATAATGTTTGTACTAATTTACGATAATGACAATACATATTTATGATACGTGGGTTACTATAATTCAAGATGATACTTATCATAATGTTATACTAAATCACTTATGAGGGAGTTACCATAATCTCATAAATTAGTATAGTAATTATCATAACTTAAAGTGACCACAAAATAACTTATTCTGTGGCCAACTACAAAACAGTATGTGTGTGTATATATATAAGGCTATTCTACAGCTGGCCATAGAATAACTTATTCTATAGCTACCTTGATTTACGATAATGTTTGTACCAATTTACGATAACATGAATATGCATTTACGATATTCATGTTACTACAACTCACGATGATATTTACCATGATGTTACAGTAAATCACTTAGTAAGGAGTTGGTGTGTCTCAAATTTAGCATAGGCTATCACTCAAAAGCCACATAAAAGTTATTATATGACGGAGTCTCAGTCTTATATATATATATATATATATATATATATATATATATATATATATATAAAAGATAAGACAAGAGATAGATAGAGACTATTGATCACTACACATTAAGGCCCCTGTTTAGTCTGAAACTTTGAAAAAAATTAAAATTTGGTTTATTGTGAGAGAAAAAAGTGTCAACCGGGTTGAATCTCAGGAGGAGAATCGGTGATTATTTGGAACCGCACATGAACAAGGCCAATATGTGGTAAGTATTTTTGACATAAGGGAATGCCACGTAAGCACCGGAACTTAGTAAATCTGTCAGGACAGTGGTGTGTCTCAAGATTTAGGCTCACTTAAGTCTAAAAATGTTCACTCGGAGTCTCCGACGATTTGGGCCCTGTTCGTTTTTTTTATAATATGTCTTTTTCAGCTGGAATAGTGTTTTTTTACAATAAATCCAGTCAAAACAGTGTTTCGGCTCGTTTTTCAGCAAAATGAACGGGCCCTTGGTAGTCAGCACCTGATGGTCCACGTGAGCTCACTAAAGTCTAAAGCACACGTTCTACGGGAAACAATCCGACTCCTTGGATGGACGGTCCGACTTAAATATCTAAATAGTCAGACTAATTAGACAGGTAATCCATGTATGTCGACCGGTAGCTGTAGCTTAAGTACCTAAGTGTAAGTAGTAATGTCACCTTATGGTCCCTATTTTCATTCTAAGTTATTTCTAGTCTTTCTACCTCATTCATGCATCATCAATGTATGTCACATGCATCATGTTTACTTATGTTACATCGGACTCATAGGAACTGGAGCAACTGAGGAGACGAGACGTGTGCATGAAGTTGAGTTTGCTGCCAAACTAGAACCAATTGAACCCCAAATTGATCCTCAAGAGTCAAGACAGACTTCTAAGCATCTTGTTTCATTTATTAATATCATAACTCGATTATGTTACTTAAGATGCATGTTTACGTACGTAGGCCCATGACCTATCACACCTACCACTCTTTGTTCGTTTTCATACATTGGAGTGTTGGTTGATTGTTTAGTTTGCTTAGACTGGTAGAGAGAGCATGTAATGGGTCGACTGGGAATGATAAGTCATATGATCGTGGCAAATGTATATGTAAACTTATAATATCAACATACTTCCATTAAGGCATATCTAACCCTATTGTGGGTTTTGGTGAATGATTGATAATGCATATAAAGAGTTAACGAGATTTATAAAGTATTTCAGTGATTAATCCGTGTGAAAAGTGCAAATGAAGAAAATGAGACTCCCAAATTCTTACTTGATTGACTAAGATGGCGTGAAACAATATATTTCGAAGAATTATCCTTCTTTGCTTCATTTCTATTTGACTTGAGTTTAGGAATGCATCAAATACATTTATTGCTCTCCTAACATATAAACTCTAGTGCATCGAGTATTCTTGTTAAGAAAGCCAACCTAAAGTTACACACACAGAAGGTATGTCTCTGCGAAGAAAGAAGAAGATTAAGTTGCAAATAAAAGGGATGTATCCCTCCTCCATCTCAGAAAAGAATGACATTCTATTTGTATAAGTAAACCATCTAAGATTTAATCAAATTTATAAAAAAATACCAATATTTGTATTACTAAATAAGTGTCATTAAATTCATTACTAAATATATGCATCGTTTCACCTACTACTATATCATAATCATTAAAATACATTTTTTATATAAAATAGATAGAATAAAGTTAAATAATTTGGCTTAAAATAAAACGAGAACTAGGAAGATAGACAGTGCATCTTTAAACGGTGGTACTAACCATAGCATGGGGGAAGCAGAGGATTGACAGAACACAACTATTCATATAAACAGATTAGCATTATTTTGTGTGGTACGTTTCCATAGCCGTCCTAGCTCAGTCGGTAGAGCGCACGGCTTTTAACCGTGTGGTCGTGGGTTCGAATCCCACGGACGGCGTTTGTTTGCAAGTTTAATTTTTCTTACTCTTTTATTTTATTTTTGATTCTCTATCTGATCTTTTCTTTTTTTTTTTTTTTGATTCTCTATCTGATCTTTTCTTTTCGAGTTTATTTTTCTCCTTTTTGATTCTTCTATCTGATTCTCTATTTTGTCTTTTCGAGTCTTTTATTTTGTCTTCATCTCATAGGAAATGAAAACGTGATTGATTCTTAAAACTGTTTCTCTATTTTCTCTTCAGAGAAATCCATATCATAAATGTAGATAAAAAAATAATTAATTACATTCTTTTGTCGAATCTTCATAGAAAACATAATTGAATAATAAAAAAAATACAAACAAAAAATACTAAACTTGATTGATTATCCTATCACGAGCCCAAGTATGACAGGGTCACAGAGGTCTCAAAGGGTCTACGGAGTAGTACGCAGCACACTTGGACAGGCTTCCGCGCCGCACGCGGCCAGGCGAGTCGACGCCGCACTGTTTTGACTCCTTTCTCCCCAGAAGAACCGTCGACTACCTGCATTGCCTTCTCCCCAAGAAACATGTACATTGCTTTCTTCCCAAGGATAACCTCTCCATTCGATCTTACCCTTTCCCCAAGAAACATGTAGACAATTTTTTTTTCCCCTAGTATGTGTGTATTATGTCTCATCTCATGGAGTACATGTATCATATACAGGAATAACAAATGTGATAGTTACCCGGAAGCACCACATACATCCTGCTGCAGGTCAAGAATTTGTCCTATAGGGAGGAGGTTGTCAAAATTGAGACAGTTCAGCACTGGTTTCTATTTCACATTCTCGGCTTTGACCTTCTCTCGCATGGTATTTGGTCAGAGTTTCCCTTCAACCTAGAACCAGTTCGGTTTTGTGTGTAAACGCTAAATTCAGGTCCTCGGATAACCATGTAGATTAGCTGAAGCAGCTGAGGCTTCTCCGAGTATACTACAAAGTTATAAAAAATAAATTAGGATAGTCTAGTTAATCATCCTTTACTCTAAGAAAAAGTACTTCTACATCAATTTTTTTGCGAAATACAAACGTAAATAAATAAATAAATAAATAAAAGGCCAGAAGGGACTTTTGTTTTTGAGAAATAGGTCAGAAGGGACTTGAACCGCTCTTTTTTGTCCGGGCCATCTAGTAGGCCGTGGCCCAATAAGCCCGACTTCTCCACACAGGCCCAGCCCACTTTAGAGGGTTCCAGGGAAACCCTAACCCACTGGTATATAACCCTCCGCGCGGCCGCCACTCTTCCCCCAACCTCTGCGCCACCACACACACCCGGTGGGGAGACCCTCTTCGCCGGCGGAGACCATGGTGTCCTTGAAGCTCCAGAAGCGGCTAGCGGCGAGTGTGCTCAAGTGCGGGAAAGGCAAAGTATGGCTCGATCCAAATGAGGTCTCCGAGATCTCCATGGCTAACTCCCGTAAGACCACCACCGCTTGCCATACGTCTCCTCCCCCTCCGTCCACTTCGTGTTTGCTGAGCGGCTAGTACGTCCGTCGACGAGCAAGCGCGTCCGTCCATGGACGATCTGTTCATCTCTTGATTGCTCTGTGGGCTGGGTTGGTGTAGTAGAGGTAGATCTGTGTTTCTGCGCGAATCTTTTTGGCGGCTCCTATGAGCTGCCGCATCGTTCGGACACGTCCTCGGACAAGGCCTCCAGATGCAGTCGCGGAGGCTTGAGCCGCCGTCCACCAGCGTGGTGCCGCGGTCGCTTGTTGATATAACTCAGGTTTGTTGCCGAATATATATACCGAGGCAGTTTAGTTTGTGGGATCGATGAAAATGAAATCTTGTTCCGTTTGCATTCTGTGGCTGCAGGTGTTCATATTAGGTCACTCACTTCGCCGGTGTGCCATCTCATCTAGTTTTGTGGCTTATCTTAGCGTACAGGATATTAAACTGTTAAATTTTGCCTATGTTGATTTTGCTGTTATAATTTATTTCCTGCTACTAATGTATTTATTTCCTGCTACTAATGTACAGTCTAAGTTGTCTGGGATATCTAGTTTTGTTTTGCTGAAGAAGATCTAGCGAATGTTTGCTAAGTGATGCAATTGTGCATAAAGTTTATTGTGTAATTTGATTATTTTGTGCACTGCTGATGATTTGCAAAGAACTGTTTATTAAGCAATACATATTCTGTTCATGCTGTTCTTGCAAACCGTATGTTCTGTCCTACTTGGTTTATTACTTAGATTCTGGCTATGACTGCTATTACTTGCCTTCATGGACAGCTGCTGATTTACACGTATGCTTTTATGTTAGCCTGAGGTATTGTGCTCAGGCTATTCTTGCCATGCATATTTTTCCGATTGGTTTAGTACTAAGATTGCCGTGAATGTATTTATATCACTTAGACTTGTGTAGTTGTTTTCTCTTTTTTTGTTCTTGTTCAATTTTGAGTGCTATGCTTGTACTTTTGTTTGAACATTGACTCTTAAACTTGTTTTGCTACTGAGTACCAGAAGGTACATATGTATGACCATTTTTCTGCAATACTTGCAGGACAAAATATTCGCAAGTTGGTCAAGGATGGCTTCATCATCAAGAAGCCGCAAAAGATCCACTCCAGGTCCCGCGCAAGGAGGGCCCATGAAGCAAAACAGAAGGGCAGGCACTCTGGTTATGGTATACTGCTGCAGCACTCGTTTACTCTGTTCGTTGCCATGTGAATTTATATCTGAGATCTCTGTTTTTTCGAGTCCTGCAATATATGCTAATCTGATCTCCCTGCAGGTAAGAGGAGGGGTACCAGGGAGGCTAGGCTCCCCACCAAGGTCCTTTGGATGCGCAGGATGCGTGTTCTCAGGCGCCTGCTGCGGAAGTACAGGGAAGCCAAGAAGATTGACAAGCACATGTACCACGCAATGTACATGAAAGTGAAAGGCAACATGTTTAAGAACAAGAGAGTGCTCATGGAGAGCATCCACAAGACGAAGGCAGAGAAGACCAGAGAGAAGACTCTCTCTGATCAGTTCGAGGCTAAGCGGGCCAAGAGCAAGGCATCTCGTGAAAGGAAAATTGCTAGGAGGGAGGAAAGATTGGCCCAGGTAAGATTTGAACATGCTGAAACTGCAAATTTTTACATTGTTATAACTGTCGATTTGTAATATCGATGAATGGTAATTAAATTTGCAAGCACTAGTTCTATATTGATCTGTTAAAAAAAGTATGCTTGGTTTTGTTTGATCTTTATTTCGTGGCATATGATTGGACGTGGGTTTTAGTGAACTACTTTCATTGTCTTCCATAGTCATGCCATGCCTTCTAGTTTGTTTTAAACTGTTAGATCTGGTACATGTTTTCTAATAGCTTGTGGCATTTGGATGTACCTCTTTCTTCCATTGTTTCATTTGTTTGGATTCTAAATGCTTGTTTCATCCTTGTGTAGGGCCCAAGAGAACCCGCCGCAGCACCAGCAGCAGCTCCTGCCCCAGCTGCAGCGTAAGTGCCTTGGAACTACTTCACTAACCTAGGTTCCTTGGTTTAGATGATCATGTGTTTGTTGACATTTTTTTTGACACTTCATTGTCACAGTGCACCAAAAAAGGCGAAGAAGTGAAGGAGTGAACTGAAGCAGTGGCTTTCTGGTACCAGGACTCGGCCTAATTTTGGAGAATGTATCTATAAGCTGTCGCGTCCGAGATATCTGGAACATCATATCTCGTTTGTTATGTTGGATAATTTAGTAGACTTGTTTATCCTAAGTGCCTTTGGAACAAATTATCGCAGAATATGGTTATGCTTTCGCGAATCCTAGTTCTTGTTTTGCTAGTTTATCTTTGATCTGGCCGTTGTGGCTAGCACCTGTGCTGGTATGCTGTGAGGTACATAACCTTATCTGAAAGTTTACTGCAGATTACACAGCTTTCAAGTGTTTTCTGTGGTGATTTATAAGCACTGTGATGTGAATCTGAATACGTGCGCTGTCACAGTTGTTGCCTCCGTAGATGCAAGCGATGGTTTTGCCGACGGCGCTGCTTATACACAACCTTATTTTGACTACGATCCTGGGAGATTGCCTTCGACTTGTGAGCGGCAGCATTAGCTGTAGTTGTAAATGCAAGGCCGCCCCCTGTGGTTAGCCATTGCGATCACAAGTTTCTATCACGGGTTGCAAATTGGCTCGACAACAGCATTCTGACGCCGAAGAACTGAATGATATATTTTGCACTAGTAAGGAAGGATTCGCCCGGGGCTTGTCATTTTGGATAAATGATTCGTATGAACGCTTCGATATGCATTTGCACTAGTAGTAAGGAAGGAATCGCCCGGGGCTCGTGAATGCTCTATCGCAAGTAGGTTGCTCAATATCCGCTGCAAATGGGAACGGGGAACCTGAAAAGAGTTTGATGTCCATGTTACAGTTAATCGAGTTTAGAAATCAAGCTGGCATAAAAGATGCAAAATTCAACCGTGATGTCCTCATTTCGTCCGTGTAGGCGATGTTATATAGCTCAGCGAAGGTATGAACGTTAGACCTGGAACAGGTCGAGTTTGTTAAACTGCTCCTTCCCATACTCCCTGGTCATTCCAACTGCTTAAGAGTAAGTTTAACCAAATTTATATAATAAAATAATAACATTTATGATATCATATAAGTATTATATTTTTTAGTATGTCTATCTCATGTCATATATATTTGTAATTTTCTATATAATTTTGGTCAAATTTAAAATATTTTGACTTAAAAAAATAGAATGACTTATAATTTGGAATAAAGGGAGTAACAAGCAATGGTGACCGGTGTCCCTAATCTAACTTGCGGTAGAATCTATTACGGATTGACATAATTTTACAGTAAGGTAAGCAATATATAGAAGTTTAAATAGAGAAGACAAATTTATATTGTAGCCCATTTTGTCAGAACCCAAAATGGAGACATTATGCTCTCGTTCAGCTTGAACACATTCCTGAAGAATTCCCTACATGTACACATAATCCACATACTCTTATCTTATATTCCTCTATTCAAAATTATAAGTCGTTCTAATTTTCTTGTAGAGTAAAAACATGTCAAGTTTGATTAAAATTATAGAGAGAATAGCAAAGATTTATGACATCAAATAGGTATACTATGAAAATATAATTAATGAAGAATCTAATTATACTTATTTAGTATCATAAATATTGTTATTTTATTATATAAATTTGGTCAAACTTTCCAAAATATTTACCCCCAGGCGGTTTTCAGCGGTGGTTTTGGTTTGCTACAGTAACGGCGGGTTGCTACAGTGCCTTTGCTTTTTGAATTTTCTTTTTTCTTTTTATTTTCGGTGAATTTTTGAAAAATCATAGTAAATAGACGGTTTTAATTTAGGATGGAAGACGGTTTTAGTATCGAGGGGTAAAACATACGGTTTCATAGTTGAGGGGGTGAAGTAAACCAAGTATGATTGGTGGGGGGGTCAAGTAGACTTTTTTCTTATTTTATTATATAAATTTGATCAAACTTAATATGCTTTCACTCTTTAAAAAATTGAATAACATATAATTTAGGATGGAGAGAGTATATCAGCTAAATTGTGATTGTGATCTCTGCTGAAAGCCATTGAAGCTGAATGTAGCTTGACCCAACAATGTCCCGATGAGAGGTTTTCAGGGTTTCAACAATTGTTGTAGAAAAAAAAAATCAAGTGTACAACATTGTCATTGCCTCAATTAGTTCTTTGATCTCTCCTGAATGTCCACTGTTTTCTTAACAAAATTTGTTTGCACAAAGTCAATCCGGATAAAAGTTATGGAAACAATTTAAAAACCGGATACAAAAAGATTATTTGAAAACATTATTTTTAAAAAAATCATGCAGTTTAAACACATAAATTTTTTGCATACAAAAATTTGATTGGATTTGAATGAGATAACGCAAAATGAGAAAGAGATCCATATAAAAATATGGAGGATGTGAGATCTGCTGGCGCGAATGCAGGGCCCGCCGAAATCTGCTTGCGTGTGGCACCCCAGTTGGACCAGGACCCGGGAAGATCGGCACAAGATGGATCCGATGACGGCAGGTGTCTCGCTGGAAGGTTGGGGGTCCGAACTGTGGGTCGGAGCCCCCAGAGGGTCGACGTCGACCTACCACGGCCCAGGGGGGCAGTGAAAGAGAGAGATAGGAGAGAGAGAAAGTCCACACTAAAACTCGTGTTTAGATAAAGCGTTCGAAACTGCCGCAAGGGGGAGCAAATTACTATCGTCAAGGTCGACGTCGGAGATGGACGCCACGTGGACTTCTAGACAAAACGTTGCAATTACTATCGTCAAACTGGAGATGGACGCCAATAGGACTGCAACATGTTTCTTGCCAACTATACGGATCCAAGAGCCTGAGCACGACGGGGAGCCCTTTCGACGTCTGAAGCGTCAGGAAGTCGGCCGGCGCGTGCACGTACTCCGCCGCCACCTCGAACGCGAACCGCCGGAGGATGAGCGCCAGCGTGGCCTTGGCCTCCAGCATTGCGAAGTCCTGCCCGATGCACGACCGCGGGCCCGAGGAGAAGGACAGCAGCGCGTTCGGGTGCGCCGCCGCCCTGCCCATGCCGTCCCGGAACCTGAGCGGGTTGAACGCGCCGGCGTCCGCGGCCCACACCTCCTCGTCGCGGTGGAGCATCGCGATCGGGATCAGCAGGAGGGTGCCCTTGGGAACCTTCACGCCGCAGAGGTCCGAGTCCGCTGTCGCCTGCCTCGCGATCATCGGCAACGTGCCGTACAGCCGGAGCGTCTCGTACAGCACCATCGTCACCTGCGAAACCGTACAAGAACATGGTCGTGACGCACGCTCGACGGCAGTCACCGTGCGGATATAGACCTGCTAGCTAGCTTAATTAATAAGCTTAAGGTGGAGGAGGCTCACGAGCTTGAGCTTGTTGAGGGAATCGCCGCGGAGAAGCACCTCGGCGCCGCCGCACTCCCGGATCACCTCCTCCCTGAGCCGCTGCTGCCACTCGGGGTGCGTGCCGAGGAGGAACATGGCCCAGGTGAGAAGGTGCGAGGTCGTGTCGTGGCCGGCGACGAAGAAGGTCTTGCACTCGTCGACGATCTCGTCCATGCTCATGTCCTGCTGCCTCTTGCCGCCGTCGTCGCCGGCGGCGTTGGCCTCCAACATGAGGCCGAGCAGGTCGCTGCCGTAACCCCTCGCCTCCTTTGCAGCGGCGAGGCGCTCGCCGATGATGGCCATGAGCGTGCCCCGCACCGTGCGCTCGAGCTGCCAGCGGCGCACGTTGGCCTTGGTGGGCACGTACTGCATGCCCGGCACGCGCACGTTGTAGATGGAGGCGAAAGCGATGAACTGGAGCTCCCGCTGCGCCAGGAACACCTCCTTCCCCTGCCTTGTCGAAGAGGACCCGCTTCACCATGTCGTAGCTGCCCACGAACAGCGCCGGAGTCGAGCCGAACCACGTCAGGAACACCTTACCGTAGAGCGACATCCACGCGCGGGATGTAGTCGTGGGAGTTTAGGTCCAGCGTGTCGCCGCTCGTCGCCGCCCGCATCGCCTGGACCTCCTTGCTGTTGCCCACGAAGACACGGTACGGCGGCCCGCGGACGCCCTGCCGCGCGAACGCCCTCGCTACGGCGTACGGGCGCCACACCAGGTGGAGCAGCACCGTCCACAGCCTGGTGACCACCACAACGGCGAGGGCGGCGGCGACCAGCGCTGCACCTCCCGTGCCCATGTCGAGCAGCTAACAGGATACGAGAACTCGCGGTGCTCCCACCCTGCGAAGCAAACTGCAATCCGCACGGAGGATATGGCCTTGTCTAGGTCATCCCAGAAAGTTGAATGTTTGATACATGTATGGAGAATTAAATATAGACTAAAAAATAATTAATAGTATAGTTTATGACTAATTTGTGAGACGAATCTTTTAAATCTAATTAGTCCAAGGTTTGACAATGTGGTGCTACAGTACACACCTACTAATGATAAATTACTTAGGCTTAATAAATTTGTCTTGCAGTTTACTGATAAATTCTGTAATTAGTTTTTTTTATTAGTATCCGAACATTTCATGTGACACCTCGAGGTAATACCCGACGTCTAAGACTTTACGACCTGAATTTAAACAGTGCCCGTAGATAAACAGTGCCCGTAGATAGTACTGCGCTGTGATGTCGTCGTTGTGTGTGTGCGCGCGCCAGTGTGACTACTGTGTGTATATATCGTGTGCAGAAGCTGATTCGCCATCGTAAAATACGGTGTCGATGCGACAGCGGCTTCTCTGCTACGCGCGCACTTGGAGCTGTCTCGTGGGTTAGAGCGTCCGGCGATGTCGCCAGCGACCGGACGCTAGAATGCAAGAGCTTTGTCTGACGAGTGACGGGGGAAGATGCGACGGCCTTGCGAATGGACGGGCGCAGACTTGAAGCGATCTCGCACGGCGGCAGCCGGCAGGGGCCTTTTGGTGGGATCACGGATGACTCAGTTGAGCATCTGGATACTGGCTGGATAGCAACAACGTACTTGCTTTCTCGAAGGCTGCAAGCGTATACGGTTTTTTTTTCATACATCCTCAGTGGTCATATATGTTTTTTTAGCATATAGATTCTTTGTACGTACATCGCTATGAGTGATCACCTTGTCTCGTGAACAAGGACTAGAAGGCTCTCGGAATTATCTACCATTTAGACGTGAGTGGAGATCCTCTTTGCCTTATTTATAACACTTTTCATAAAGAGCAGCTGCCTGAAATCTGTCTTTGGTTCAGACAATAACGTGATCCTTTGATCTTGCTAAGACGGTGGTAGAAGTCTAGGGTATGGAACATTTTCAGACTCATTCTTCTGACAAATAGGACATCGTTGAACATAGCTTTTTTTTTACCATAGAATGCATTTTGAGCCAGATGAAAACCAATTTAAGTCTTCGGTGTGTGGCCATTTCCCCAGAGTGTCCTCCCAAGCGTAGATTGAGGATCTCAAGGAGTTTCTTCCGCAATTGTGTTATGGTAGTTTTTCACGAACATGCCTTGGCGATGCGTTTACACGTGTTTCATTAAGAGAAACATAATTACATGATGCAACTAAGATAGGGCCCTCGTTGCACAGGTTACAAGCCGCTAAGACGGTGGTAGAAAAACCAAAGCAACCTAGAACAACAAGAAAAAGAAGGGGAAGGGGACACTTAGCCATACTAGAGTTTATACTAAGTTGTACTTAGGGTTGACAGCACAGTAGACGTGCGTTTTGCGCTTGCCACTTTGCTAGTTAAAGAAACGAATCGGATAATCTTTGGTGAGTCAAATCTTTGTGGGCCGAAACAATCATACTTTCTCCTCATCCTCAGCTGTACATTATTCATTTGGCATGTTGCACTGTGACTTGGGCGTCATAGCGGCATGCTACAGTGATGGAAGCTCGATCTGTTGTGAATTGCGTGTCGATAGCGGCCTACTAATCAGTGTAGTCGTCAATCCCAACGGTCCAACAAATTGCACTGTTTGTAAGTAGAAATTTTATTGTACAAACAAGAAATGATGTCTGTTTGTAAGTAGGGAAAAATATTATACAAGCAACAAATTATGTGTACCCTTAGGAATTGTTTGGCTCATTGGGCCGCCTTGAAATCTACGTGGGGGTATATTCACATTTTGTACATAATATGTGAAAAAAACTATACTCATAATTCTATATCTATATCTATACCTATTAACAGAGAGACACAATTTCTAGCCACTTTAGATTTTCAATAATCCTAAACTAGCTGGGCTTCGACAATCATGCAACCGTCTGTTACGGTCTCCCACGATTGTTTTCGTCGGGCTGAACGGACACGGCTTCTCCCGGCGTAAGTAGGGAAACGAAACAAACACTTGATTCCGATTCAAAACACAATATAGGCTTCAATGTTCATTCCTGATATATGCATGCGTATACCAGCCATTGTATATCCAATATCCTGAACGACAAGGCCCGCAGCCGTGGCCCCAATTGATCAAACGTCATGGATGGGGATCACACCGAGGATTTTTTTTAATATTTTTTATAAACTAATTTTAAATCTAACATAATTTTTTTTCTTCTCAAAATTAACACTTTTGGCCGCGCCTATTGCCATGGCGTGGTGAAACGCCTGTGCCGCGTCATGCATGGTGGCGCGGCAGGAGGCTGACGTGGCGACGACCGGCGCTGCTGACCGGTGACGTGGCAGGGTCTGTCGCGCCACCGATTTTGGCGCGGCACTGACGCGCCACGGTGTATGGCGCGGCAGTACCTGGACGGTTTAATCGTAACTTTCCGCATCAATCCTTTTTTATTACGTCTTGTTTTTACTCCTATATTGGGAGTTACTCTACATATTGTTTGACGTAAAACCAATAGTAGATTTGTTTCTGTCTTTTGTTGAATTTTTTTCATAGTTCGATAGAGAATTTGATAAGCCAATGATTTTTTCCGTCTTTCATAATACGGTTAACCACCATGTTAACTAATCGATTACGAAAAATTGGATCGGATTTTGCGGTTCTTTTTTCTGCAGTACCTCGACGTGACATGAGCGTGAAAGAGGTTCAAGGATCCATTTCCTTTTTATAAGGGCTAAAAATGAATCACTTATTTTTTTAGGCTTTTTGGCCCCCATATTGTAGGATCGACAGCGACGCGACCATGGACCCCGGCTTCCTCGACCCCTCGCGCAGCACGGTCGACTACTGCCCGTCTAACCAGGGTGTCTTCTTCGGCGATTTCGTGGCGGCGATGACAAAGCTCGGGAGGATCGGGGTCAAGATGCCGGCCACCGGCGTCGAGATACGCCGGGAGTGCTGGTTCTCGAACTAGTTGCTACTTAATCTCGCCGGTAGTGCTGCCGTGACGCATTGAAACAAATATGAAGCAAATAAATAAAGTCCGTGCGCAAGTTGATAAGCTGCCACATAACATTTTCATTGGTTTGACATAAGTTCGACATAACATAACCAACTAAGCCCCCAAGTTTTGGACACCAATATTCGTTCGACCTAACAAACTGAGACCCGGGAGTGTAAGGATCCTTCGGACGCCTCTGTCTCTTTGGATTTATTGACAACACATTGGTAGTGTAGCCAACGTCGGTGTGGTCGCGTTGCTGGCGCGTACGGCTCGTACCCTGCAAGTATACGATATGCATGATTAATTATAATCTTTATGATCGTTAGTTCATAGACCCTACCTATTTAAAGAAACTACCTTTGTTAGTACCTGTGAGGCTCCTTGGTTACCAAGCGGGGCACCACCTAGCTGAGATATGCCGATCTCGTTCTGCGGCCAATCGTCCCACTGGTCGTGCTGTCTGTGGAAGCCCGGGGGGTCGTCGTCGTCATCATCGTCCTCGCTTGTAGGGTCCTTCCCAGCGCTATGATATGGTGGTGTACGCACTGCAGATGTGGCACCTGTCATCAGCTGAGAAGAGCTAGCTGGTGTCCTCAAAGAGGCTGAAGACGTGCCACCCGACCGCGCCGGGAGTGGCGGTTCCACCCAAGGAGTGTCCATGCAGCTCGGCTTCTAAGCTAGCTTCCTGCAGCTCTTCTTCACCTTCTTCATAAATAGACATTAAAGTTAGTGCATTTCCCAAACGCATATACACTAAAGAAACATTTTCGAAATGGACAAATTTATGTTTACCTCCATAAAAGCCTCGAGAACGCCTAGCCCCTGTCCTCTAGACTCGTGAAGCCGGAACGCTGCTTCGTTGGACATCCTTGACAATTGTGTCGTCTGGGTATAGAAACACAGTTGGACAGTTTTAGTACACATACTTAATACCAAATGGATAATAAATTATACCATTCAAGTATCTTACTACGTATCTTTGAAGCGGGGCTCTCTATAGCTATGTGTCCTCTCTAGTGGCAACGTCGTACACATCTTCGATCACATCTTCCTCCGAGTCCTCGTCAATCGCCTCCTCAGTGTACGGGGACTTGATATGTGTCCTCGTAGACCTATGAAGCCACCGCATGTACTTGTGGTAGAACCGCCCGAAATAACACGCTTACGGAGGTGCTCTCCTTCCACCAGACACTAAGCACCCCGAAAGTAAGCTACAGCGGGCGATATCCGTCGGACACACCCTAAGAGAGAACCCGAAAGATCCACATTTTTTCCAAGGATCCAATAATGAGAATGAGTTACAATATAGGCCCATTTCATACATTCGAGTTTCTTAAAAATTACATTATTACATTACCAAATGTCAGAGTGCGGAATGATAAACAACGTAATTCAAAATAAACAACTAGCGATAAGAACGAGGATCCATCTGAGCCCGCCAGAGGAATCCTCCACACAAAGGTACTTCTCATGCATCACCTGCAACAGGAGTAAATAAACCCTGAGTACACAATGTACTCTCAAGACTTATCCGACTACTGGGAATAATTTCCTGACTCCAAGGAATATGATAAGCTTCATGGTTTGCTGGTTTTCTTTTAGCAAAAAGCAATACTAATAGTGAGTTCTTATTTATGTTATGATTATCAGCCGTATTAAGTTATTATCTATCCTGTCTATATAAGCACCTGTTCTACTTTCAAGCAAGAGTTGAGCAATCAGTTCCATTTCTTTTTCTTTCAACTTTCAGTTCTTACTACGATGCTAGAGGTAAGACAAGTCGTACCGACTCGGCGGCGATTCGCGAACCAATGTGCCTAGCTAGGTGCCCCAAAAACACACGCCCCGCTTGTACCCCAGGCACAAGTAG